TGTAATGAACAAAAAACCCTTTGGACCTATATATATGCCAGACTCTTAATTTTAATCATGGTCTCTCTTTTTTTTTTTTTTTTTGAGAATAAACTTCTCTGATATTCCTTGGAGTTTCATAGGTTAGTAAGTATACTTTCAGTTTCGTTTTTTTCTTTCTTTCTTTACACAGTACTTTTTCAGTGTCCAGAAATTTCTTCCTCTAAAGAATAAAATTCCCATCTTTTATCATGGTGGGGATGGTATGCAATATGGGCAGAGGATCTGAGATTTTGTGTGTTCTACATATCTTTCACCCATACAAACTATTTTCATACCTGTCCTTCCACAGTCCTCATAGTTGCTCTGTGCTTTCAGTTTTTGACACTGGATTCTTTCTAGGATTCTTCAGCAATCATTTCTGTGTTTCTTCAACTTGATTTCCCTCCAGATTATAGGGAAAAAATTTATTCGCCTTCATGTAATGTCTTTTTTATCACCTTCTATTTAATCTGACACCCCTCATTTTATACTTTTTTTTTTTGGTTAAGATTAAAGATAGTTTACTGGTTATTTAGCCTATTAGAATAAAAAGTCGATACTACATTTAATGTTGACATTGATGATTTGGCCCAAAAAAGTAAATAAATAAAAGATGGCAGAATAGAGTATATATAGTTTGTCTAGGTATTTGTGGCTCAGTTTTCATTTTAGAACATGATAATATTTGGGAATTGCTTTTAAAAGTTTGTATATGCATGTAGTGCATTCAAGACTAAAATATGTTGTAGGAAATTATCAAATTTATAGAAAACTCAATTTTGTGTTAAAGAAGTTAGAGTTATATTAATATAAACTATTATATATAGAACATTAAGCAGTAATCATTTTTATCTACATTTATTTGTTGGCAATGGAGAAGAATAGATATAACCTGGTTGATGAAGTCAGTTTTTAACCCCAACACTAAAAAGATTGGCTACTCAAAAGCCTCTAGTTGAAATTTGATAGAAGTCTGTTTATTTAAGAGATTTCATGAATATATACTGTGTTGTCTTATGACTTAAGGGCATTAGTAAGCTAAGAATATATTTGACTACTCAACAATTATAAGCTTCGGAAGTGATAGTCAATTAAATACAGCCTAGTACAGGTATGAAATTATTGACTCTGTTGTTTGTTTTGAGTCCTTCCTCTCCAAAGTGCTGAAATGTGTTTTGAAATTACTTAGTTGCATTAGTGGTTGAATTTGAGGCTTTTAACGTGTTTTTCACCAATACCTCTGGGAAAAGAATAACCAAGACCTTTAAACATACCATGCATTTTGCATCACTATATAATTGTAAATACTATGATGAAATATTGAAATGATCATGAAAGATGATAAACCATTAAGCTTTTCTTTCAACTATTAAAACTTAGTAAAGGTTATATTGAGCTGTGGTTTATGAAATTGTTTATACTAACACCTTCTTTGATAATTTTCTCAGAAGTAGAGAAAAATGCTTTAAGATGATATGATCAATTCTTTTTTCAGTTTTGGCGGCTTCCTTAAGGATTATAGAAAATGTTTCAGTTTGGAGAAAATTTGTTGACTGCGTGATAGTTAGGTTTACTAAAAAGATTTTCTGTTCTCATGGTCTTCAAATTCTTTTTATCTGGGTTATTCCTTTCAGTATATTTCAGTGTATACCTTTCAGCGTATTTATGTATCTGGTGTGTGACATTTTATTAAATGTTAATAATTTATAGTTGGAATGGATAATGGACAAAATTCAATATACATGAGAATTATGAGAATTTTATAATAGTATCGAAAGTGTAAGATTTAACTTTTCATGTCATTTTCCATTTTGTCTGTTTTATTAATTTAACTAGTGAAAAACATTTTATTCTGAGTGATTAGATAGCAGTTAGTGTAATTTAGCACATATGGGTTTATAGATGATTGGAAAACAAGACTCCTAATGTATAAGTAATAGTAAATTTGCCCTGAGATTTTATAGAAAATGGGACTTTTCTACTTCCTTATGTCCCTTCATGTGTAATTTGGTTTTATTGTAAAAGGAGAAAATATTTTGTATGACATACCAAGTTAAGTTCATTCTTAAAAGTGTTTAGGTGGTAAATTTTCTGTAGTTACTCTAATTTTCTATCTGACCTACATCATGTTGTTTAAAGTTTTGTGAAATTTAAATGTAACACATTTCATAATTTTACATTTCATATGTAAGTCAGTTTTTCTATATAAATGAGAATAAAAACAATGTAAACTATCTACTTAAAATTTGAGTCTCTGTTGTTATCTGTTTTATCCATGTGTAGTTTAGAGTTTTGTATAACAGATAATAAAAACCACCTGTTGCAGTTTTTGATCACATAAAGTCGATTGAGAAAAATAGTAATAAATGCTTTTTAAGACAAAAATGTCTGATCTAACGAAATATATAGAAGAGAGCCTCTTGCCTTTCTTCCTGATTTCTTTTTTACTAGCATAAAAAGTAACTTTCAAACTTTCTTCTTACTGAAGTTAGTTTTCACTTTAAGATTTTCCTTCAAATAAGTGATCTGAGTGAAAACTCAGTCAGTTTAAGGTCTTGTGTCCTTACACACTTGTGCTATATCGGATTTCCAAGTAATGTGCGAGGCTGATGTGCTGTGATGTCAGTAGCCATGGAGTGAGTGTGTGCGGCTGCTCCTGGACTGTTGCATCCCTTGAGGCGTCATAGTCTCTTCTGATTCTCTGCTATCTCTGAGCATGGGTCACAGCTGTGTTCTCATCCCCCAAAGCCTCAGCTATTTGTCCATCTTTCTAGGATAATTTTCTGACTTTTCCTGTGTTATGAACTACTATGAGGCTCTTTTAGGTTCACCTGCTGTTATATCTGTTCTGTTCCTGCACATTGTTAGGGTTAGGACTTATCTGTGAGACTCGGTGTCTCCTGCTGTGCTTGGGAACTAAGTTGTGGGACCTTTTGTAGCAAGAACAAAAAATTTACCTGAGGTTTCTGCTCTTCTTCTCTGTTCCTTTTCTTAAATCTGAGAGTGGAGGGTGCGACACATGTTCTTTGAGGGATATATGCTTATTTTGAATTTGACTGCTTTCCTTCTACTGCATGGTATTTCATTTTACTGGAAGGAAAAGGATTTTAAATTAAAAAGGTATTTCTGTTTACCCCTAACTTGGTTTGCCTAGTGAAAAAATGTGTGATCTCTATTTTGTTGTTTCAGTTTAGGTGGATTGTGACTTTTGAGAAATTGTATATTGCAGACCTATTTAAGTGACTACTTTTTTAAAATTGTTAGAGTATCATAAATTAATACAGACTGAAGAAATTTTCTCAGGGGATGTCTTAGACCTAGATATTTGAAGTGATCTGCCCAAGTATATACTTTGTTAGAATCAGTTTGAGAAAGTAGTTTTCATGATTTCTTGTTTATTATTGAAACATTGCTTTATCCTTTCTTGCATATCTCATCAATTACTACTCTCATATGTCTGACTTTATATCTAATTTTCATTCTGTGATGTAGTGAAATTCTACTATTGTTAGTAGCTGTTTTGTTAGTATGTTCTTACTAAGATTATTCATGAAATAGAACCAAATGACAAAATTAAGCCTTTGGCAGCCATTGTAGTCCCAAGAGTTACTTAGGTTTTCCAACATGCAAAGGAAAGTAGAACAAAATTGGGGGTAAAAAGAAAACAGAAGGCAAAGGAAGGAGATGCTGAAAAAAATTAAGAATTTGGAATGAAACAAAGCAGTCATGCAGTCATCAGGGGTGAAATTAGATTAAAGGTATTTCATCAGGGCCTCCCCGGTGGCGCAGCAGTTGAGTGCTGGGTTGCGAAGCTGACCGCAGCCTCTTCAGCGCCAGTTCGATCCCCGGCTGCTCCCCGGCCACCAGAGGAGGGTCCCACATGGCGCGCAGACCTCTCCTGCCGCCTGCTGCTCCCCTCAGCAGTGTCCTTCTGCCTGCTCTGCTCTGCTCCCTGCTCTGGCTCTGGTGAGTTCTCTCACCCTCCCGCACTTCTGACTGTACCCAGTGCTTGTATAAATAAATAAATAAATAAATCTTAAAAGAAAAATAAAGGTATTTCATCAAAAAGTATTACTGTGGCTTATGGTGAGCTATGTCTTACCCCAGTGTGGTCTTTTCAGCTTTATAAAAGAACAAAAACATTATCAGTTGGGGGATATATGTAGATAGGGCTCCTTAGTTTTAAGGAGCATAAAATTATTTATTTCCAGATTAAAAAAAAAAAGTTTATATGTAGACAAACACATTTATTGGCTTTTCTTAAATCTAGCCACATTTAAATCCATCAGGCCTAGCTGCTTTGGATTAACACTTAGTTATTTTTTGAGATGAGGATTTTTTTTCTTTTACTTTGAGATGACTTTAAAAAGTAATGTTTGCATACTCTACTGGTTAGTTTCCTTCGTTGACTTTTAAATGGAAAGCTTATACATAAGGAATATAGTGAATAGGTTTATATAATCTTTTGGTAATTAATATATCCTCTTTTTGTAACAGTACACCTTTTTAACTGGAAAGTGATCTAGCCAGATTCACTGGTCTTGTACATTAATCAGTTTTTGTGGTAGAATGTGCTTTAAGCTATTCTGTGTTTTTTTTCTCATTTGGGTTAATACAGCTCTGTTTTTAAAGAAACTATATGAAAAACCTCTGTCCATGGTTGTCTTTGCTGCCTTTCTTTCAACTTCAACTCTTTCAGTTAATTTGGAGTTTAATGATGTAGGGAAAAAAGTACATACATATATACAGAGGCTCATTTAGTTTATATAAAATCAAATTATTGCTAACTTATTTCCTTTTTAAATGCAAGCTATTTATATGTTCCTAGGCCTATATTGAGTAGGTAAACATATTTAAAAAACCAACTTTTTCTTTAAGAGATAAGATTTGAAATTTATATGGGTGTTTTTTTATAATTATTGTTTTAAATTTAACTACTGCTTGAAATTTGTTCAGCTATTTTTGCTTTTTTATTTTAGGAGTGGCAGAATTCTATTCAGAAGAATGCAGGACTTGCTTTTATTGAACTTGTCAATGAAGGAAGGTAAACTATTTTATTCATCTATTCCTTTCTCTTGTATTTGTGCCATTGTAATTGATATTTTCTGGGTGCTGTAGTTACTTTTTTTTGCAGCTTATAATGTAGTAAAGCTCAAATTGAATATTAAAAATATGTCTATACTCCACCAGCAATGCAGGAGAGTTCCTTTTTCTCCACAACCTCGCCAACATTTGTTGTTGCTATTTTTTTTAATATGTGCCATTCTCACTGGTGTGAGATGGTATCTCATGGTAGTTTTGATTTGCATTTCCCTGATTACTAGTGATGTTGAACATTTTCTCATATGCCTGTTGGCCATTTGCATTTCCTCTTCAGAGAAGTTTCTTTTTAGCTCTTCTGCCCATTTTTTGACTGGATTATTTTCTTTGTTTTTGTTGAGCCTCATCAGCTCTTTGTAGATTTTTGTGATCAGTCCTTTATCATTAGTGTTATGTGCAAAAATGTTCTCCCAGTTGGTGGGGTTTCTCTTTGTTTTTGTTATTGTCTCTTTTGCTGTGCAGAAGCTAAAGGAGGGCTTGGGGTCAAAATAAGGGGGTTGTAATTATATGGGGAATATAAAAATAAAATTTAAATAAAAAGTTTAAAAAAGTTAAAAAAATGTCTATAATTATATTTCCTTTATGGTTAAATGCTTATGATAAAGTTCTGGTCTTTAGTTTTCCATAAGTTAGACTTGAGTTTGACGAAAGTAAGCTGGTGATTCTTTTAGCAAATGGAAGATAATTATTTGGGCTTCCTATAAAGTTCTATTATATTTGTAGACCCAGTTATTAAAGTAAGGTTTTTATATTATCTCTCTTAGTCACAATCCTGTCTTAAAATTGGGGACAAATTTAGTTTTCTGTTGTAATATGAGAAATTGTAGAGGGGGAGAAAGTTGGTAAGAGTTACATTTAAAGAGTAGAGCGAGAAGAATTCAATGGAAGGAAATTCATTAACAGAGAATGAAAACCAAAGACAAGACAGAAATAAAAAAGATATACGAGAGAAAATAGATTTAGGATAGTTAAAGAATTAAAAGTAAAATAAGGACCTGATGAGTGTACCACTTACTGTCTGTTTGTGGCAGTTGATTTTGGATTAATTGAATTTAAGACCTAAGGTATAGAGTAAAAAATATGATTGGCTTCCATTGTAAATGGCATTCTATACACAATTACTGTTTCGGAATGTTTCTTCAGTGTTCTGGCCAGTGCTGGGAGACTCACTTTATCATTGCAAAAATGATTTGAACTGGGAATATAGCCTCTTTTGTTTATGTTTCGAAAAATGTAACAAAGGGTCTTGATAACTTTGTTTGATATTACATACCACTAAAATTCTTAACTCAGTAAATAATGATAGGTGCTCACAAACAAGTATTGCAAACAAAATAAACCTGTAATTATAATGCTTTATGCTAATTTCTGTCCTAGAAGTATTTGATTACAGGTTATTAAGGAAGGATTGAGAAAAAAAGAGAAAGGTTTCATAATTTAGTATGGGAAAATTAGGCAAAATTTCCTCAGGGACCATGATTGTTGAGATGTATTTTCAAGGATGTGTAGGATTATTCATCTAGACATTAGAAAATTGGGGATTATGGATAAATTGGGGGATGTGTGTGAAAGGCAATCTAAATACAGGGAATGGAATATTTGAATAATTTGTAATGTGGGAAGAGGTGTGTGTGTATGTGTATGATATTCACATGTGTGTGTTTAGTTGTATTAGAATTATAGAATTGGGCATCTGGATCATAAAATAGCTAAGCTGGCATATTGGAATTTTTATCTGAAGACACCACGAAGCCATTGTTATTTGGGTTTTGTAATGATACCTGGCAGAAATGTTTAGGATAGATCGAAGAAAAAAAAAGAGCAGTAGCAAGGCTATTGCGGTGGTCCATATGAGAAACATCTAAATTGTAGTTTGGAGTCTATTAAGTGATATGCAGTCAATGAATATTTCTCACTAAGCGGATGACTAATTTTTGTTTTATCTTTAGCAAAAATTTCAGTACGTTTATTCATTAAAAAAAAAAAAGCAAACCCAAACCAAAAACGAATAGCTAAAAACCTCTTAGTTGAATTTCCATCCTGGAAGTGTTGGATGTTTTTTGACATTTATATATAGAAAAGGAGGTGGGGAGATCTGAGGCATCTCGGATGGGTGGGGGAAGGGTGAGATAAAGGGGTGAGCGTAATGGACTATGGCGTAGGACCATGGGTGCTTTGGTGATAGAAGATCGATAATGACCACACCTGAGAGTAGAGATCCTATGCTGTCAAAAAATTAATAAGGTTGTAAAACAGTGGCACTTCATTAAAAAAAAAAAAAATTCTGGAGCCCATGCAACTAAAAAAAAGGAAAAAGAGATGGCAAGAATTGATCAAATTTATATTTGTTTTGTATAATGTGATTAACAGGGTTAATCAGGTTAAGCAAAAAATCTGATTCAGATTTTCTATAATTTATAGAACTTGTTTAAAGAAAATTCTTACTCATTTTAAATGAAAATTTGCTATAAAAGTTGATTTTGATTAGTGTAGGTTTCACTAAATATAAATATCCTTAATTATGTATGCTCTTGTTACATGTAATAGGTAAGGCTATTTGCAAGTACATCCTCTTCTATGAGCTTCCATTTCCTTATTTATTTGTTCAGTCATTGTTTATTACTATGTGCTGTGAATTGTCCTTAATGCTGGGGCTATAGCAATAAACAAAACAATCATTTTTCATGAGTCTTACATATAGTCATTGATGCCTTTGATGTTTTATTGTTTGTGTATAGGAAAATAGTTGACTTTTATATAGTAATCTTGTATCCTACAAACTTGGTATAATTCCTTATTTGTTCTAGCATTTTTTGTTGTTGTTGATTCTTTCAGGTTTCCCACATACAGTTATGTCACTTGTGAACTAATATAGTTTTATGTCTTGCTTTTCCATTTCTGTCTTTTATTTCATTTTCTTAATTTTTTTTAAAAAGATTTATTTATGCATACAAGAGCTGGGATACAGGCCAGAGGTGCAGGAGTGGGAAGCAGAACAGGCAGACTGACTGAAATACTCTGCTGAGGGGAGCAGCAGGTGAGACAGGAGAGGTCTGCTGAGCCATGTGTGTTGCTCCCTGGCGGGCTGGGGATCAAACTTGTGCTGCAGAGGCTGCGGTTTGCTTCATAGTGCGTTGCTTAACCCCTTGTGCCACCAGGGAGGCCCCATTTTCTTAATTCTTTAGCTAGAACTTTTGGTATGAGTTTGAAAAGGAGCTGTAAGAGGGAAAATCCTTGTTTTGTACCTGCTGTTAGGAAGGTAGTATTTCAAGTTGTTTACCATTGAGTATGCTACTTGCTACAGGTTTTTCGGTGAATATTCTTTATAATGTTGAGAAATTTCCCTTCTATTTTCAATTTTCTGAGAATTTTTTTGATCATGGATTTTAGATTTTGTGTAGTGCATTTTTTCCTCTGTTGATGTGATCGTGTGATTTTTATTTTTAGTTTGTTGATGTGATGGATTGTATTAATTGGTTTTATGATATTTCTTCAGCTTTTTTGCTACTGGGATAATTCTTTCTTGGTTGTGGTATATAATTTTTTAAATGATTGTTTAATTAAATTTTGTTTGTTGATTGTTAAAAGCTACGTGCTTGGACTTAATTGCAGAATTTGTTGAAGCGTGGTTCTGTTAATGTTGGTGTTAAACTTTAAGAATTCTTTGTTTTTTTTTTTTTTGGTTGGCTTTTTAGGGGTCACCTGTCTTTCTCTACATCTTCAAAGTGAGCCAATTATTGACCAGAAATCTTGGTGAAAGCTTTGACCATGCTAGTGAATCTATTATTTGATGAACACATTCAAATTTGAAACAGTTTTAATGTCTGTCCTTAGCTTTTCCCTACATCAGTCTTTTTCAAGCCTGCACTTTATGTACACTCAAAGGCCCAGAAAACCACAGACATGTGGAATCTTATTATCTCATATTTTACATTAAGGAATTTCTGTGTTTTATTAAGAAATGAATTCATGTTACTCTCAAATATCCTTTCCAGGAGGACTGATTGTTATTTTTTCTTATTGCAGAAACAATTGAATAACTTGTTTTTATATCAACTGTGATCATAAGTTTTAAAATCACCCCTTTCTGCTTTCTTACCTATGCTTACTTTATTTTCTGAGTTTGCTAGCTTCCTGTGGTCAGAAAACATTCTCTCCTTCATTGTTTAGCCTATAGAAAGTACTTCGCCTTTGTCATTTAAATGAATGTTTATAATAAACAGTTGTGGAAATAATACTAACATTTGTTAGTGAAATATTGTAGGTGATATTTGAAATTTTGTATTATCTCTTTAGAAGGTAGAATATAGTTTAAAGGAACAATTTAGAGATTTGTTTTTTTTTTTACTTGGTGCATTTGGCTTCCCTTTCATAAATATTCACTACGTTGAGGTTAAATGAGTTTATGTAGGAATGGATGTATTTGTGAAGTAGTTTGGAATGTTCCGCTACTGGACTTAATCCCAGGGGCAAGAAGAATAAGTAATAAGGGATTTTCTTTCAACTGCAGAAACCAACCTTTTCTTTTTTTCTTGTTATGTAAGCCTGACCTGCCTTGACCTCATTTATGGAGTAGCTGCTATAAATTTGGTCCTTGATTAATGTTTTATTAGTGTAAATAACATGAAGACCTTTACAGACTGAGACTACAGCATAAGGTTTATCAGACTTGATGGGTATCATTAGCAAATCAATTACTTAGGTCAGACATAAGTAATTGTTGTTCAGTAGAAATCTTTCTCTTACCTGTTAAATTTATAAGATACCTTCTTTATAAATACATTGTTTTGATAGTATTTAATTCAATTATTGATATTTTTCATGTAAACATACCATTTTAAGTATTTTTTTTTCCCTAGGAATAAAGTAATGAGTAATCACTGACATTACCTAAGGGTATTTCTTTAACAGATTTTACCAAAAGAAAATATATATGCTTATCAT